GGTGTTTATTAACATGTTCATAGTGTGAAAATGATAAATTTTCGAAATTCGTGAGGGTGCGACGAATTTGACGAGTTTGACAGTGTGATGAGTTTGACTGTGCGACGAGTCAAACTGGTCAAATGATGTTCTAAATTAAATTTTTAAGGTTCAACGTGGTATATAAGGGCTATTATGACGTATTTAACGTGTTTTTGTTATTCGTAAATCATGAGAGAAAATAATATATTCTACCCTAAGCCAATGTGTTACAAAAAGTGTACTAGAACTTTGGGATTTTATTTGGGAGAACATGGATAGTAAAAAAAATAAGGTGCTAAATTTAGAGAGTTGCGATTATTTTTTATTTATGAAAGTTGTTATACGGGGTGTTTATTAACATGTTCATAGTGTGAAAATGATAAATTTTCGAAATTCGTGAGGGTGCGACGAGTTTGACGGTGTGACGAGTTTGACGGTGCGACGAATCAAACTGGTCAAATGATGTTCTAAATTAAATTTCTAAGGTTCAACGTGGTATATAAGGGCTATTATGACGTATTTAACGTGTTTTTGTTATTCGTAAATCATGAGAGAAAATAATATATTCTACCCTAAGCCAATGTATTACAAAAAATGTACTAGAACTTTGGGGTTTCATTTGGGAGAACATGGATAGTGAAAAAAATAAGGTGTTAAATTTAGAGAGCTGCGATTATTTGTTATTTATGAAAGTTGTTATATGGGGTGTTTATTAACATGTTCATAGTGTGAAAATGATAAATTTGCGAAATTCGTGAGGATGCGACGAGTTTGACGGTGCGACGAGTCAAACTGGTCAAATGATGTTTTAAATTAAATTTCTAAGGTTCAATGTGGTATATAGGGGCTAGTAGATGTATTTAACGTGTTTTTGTTATTCGTAAATCATGCGGAAAAATAATATATTATATCCTAAATAAGGTATTATAAAAAGTGTACTAGAACTTTGGCTTTCGTTTGGAAAAACATGTATTGTAAAAAAAATAAGGTGCTAAATTTATAGAGTTACATTATTTGTTACTTATGAAAGTTATTATCTTTTGTTAATTATAATTCAAGTGGAAAAAATATCTTCTACCCTATATCAATATATTACAAAAGATAAAATGTTTATAGTTTGAAATGTGTTATTTGTAACTGAGATAAAATGTGGTAAATATGCATTGTCACTTTCAAACATGGTGTGAATGGTTTTTTTGAGAGAACATGCATTGTAAAAAGATAAATGCGTTAAAATTGGAGAGATTTTAACTTAAGATACTTATTACATGGGGTGATTATCAATATGTTTACAGTTTGAAAGTGATAAAATCACAAAATTTAATATGGTACGTCCGGTTTGACGGGTCTGACGGTGCGACGAGTTTGACAGTGCGATGATTTATGAAAAAAAAAGTTGATTTAAATTAAGTTTTGAAGGTTCAATTTGGTGTATAAAGTTTTGATCCAATTAAATACATATGATTAAAATTATACTCGTAGGGTAAACATGATTAAGTATAATTTATTAAAAAAGAGTATCATTGAGAGACTGATAAATGTTCTTTAAATCATATACGAATAGAACCTACAAAAATAAATTAAACACTCATTGTTAGTTTTGTTTGACTAGTGTGACTAGTTTGACTAATTTTATCACACTAGTCAAACTCGTCAAACTGGTTATGCCCTTCAAATGCGATCAGTGTAACTAGTATGACCACGTAACTTTTTAACCAGTTTGACTAATGTGATCATGTGACCATTTCACTAATATGACCCTTTTGACCACTTTTATCAGATTAGTCAAACTAATCACACAATTCAAGTCGACCAATATTATTAGTATGACCACTTAACTTCTTGACCAGTTTGATTAGTCTAACTGTGTGCCCATTTCACTAGAATAACCAGTTGAAGGGTGTGACCACTTCACTGATATGAGCATTTGATAGATTAGTCAAACTAATCACACAATTCAAGTCGACCAATATTATTAGTATGACCACTTAACTTTTTGACCAGTTTGATTAGTCTAATTGTGTGCCCATTTCACTAGAATAACCAGTTGAAGGGTGTGACCACTTCACTGATATGAGCACTTGACAAATGTGACCCGTTTAACCAGATTTATCAGACTAGCCAATTGGTCACACCATTCAAGTGCGACTAGTATGACTAGTATGACCATTTAACTATTTCCATATGACTCGTCTTCTGTGAAAAAATATTGTTTCTCATTTTCTAATTGAAATCATAATTTTTTTTATCTATACAACTCGAATAATATGATCAATTGGACTTGTTTTATTTTCTTTTATTGTTTACCTAGATGCACACACATAAGATTCTAAAAAAATATCCACCTTTCTTAGTGAATTCAAATGAATACGCAAAAGGAGTCGAAAACAATGAAGACGAAGTTATTTTGAAGTGAAGACGGTTTTACAAGAAGAAATCGCACAAGAAATCATCAAAAAAATCGTACCATTAGAGAGAAATTATAGAAGAAAATTTACCGAAGAAGAAATTGTAGAAGAAAATAAAAAAGAAGCTGGAGAGTTTTAAAAAAAAGTTTTATTTCTCCTTCCTTTTTTTTTATCCACTCAGATTTTGACATGCGTCCTTTTTTTTAATGATAACAATATTTTCCTTCTTTTTTCTCTTTCTTCATAGGATTTTGACATGTGTTCCTTTTTTTAAGGGTAACAATGTCTTTTCAATGTTTGTCAGATTTTTTTAAAAACCCTAGAATTACAAGGGTATGAATTGAAGTGTTTGTGTACATTTAAAGTCATATTTGTAATATCCCCACATTACGAGCTCTCCCCACTAACTGCCACGTGGCATCTGGTTCTTTGTCGTTATAAAAAAAAACGTTATAAGATGATCTTTTTTTCAATAATTCAGATCGGTTATACAAGTTATGTCATAACTTTCTATTATTGTTGGACAAATCCGGTTTGCGTTTTGAATTGGAGTTGAAATACTGTAATTAATCAACCGCCTTGTAATTAATCAACCGAATCCGGTAGAGTGTTTTCTTATTTTAATCTATTTTTTTCTTTTGGCATTTGGGTTGAAACTAGAATATGAAATGTTAGAAATGAGAAAATTTTATATTTGATTTATAAATTAAAAAAAAACTCTACTTATGAGGCAAATTTTGAAAAGAAAAAATAAGATTTAGATGTTGAATGGTTGGAGTTTTTAGAATTAAAAAACCAAAAAAACTAGTTTTCAAGTTTTTATAAAATTACTTTTCCTAAAATATTAGAAAGTTATTTAGATGAAAAAATTAATAAAAAATCAAAAACTATATTTTTTGGGTTTACAAATATTATAGAATTCAAAAACCAAAAACCAAAAACTCAAAACTAAAATTTAAAAACTAAAACCAAAAATCCGATCATCGCTCGCTGCATCAATCTAGCTACATTACGAGCTCTTCCCCCTAACTGCCACGTGGCATCTGGTTCTTTGTCGTGTTTTATCTGTCTGCATCTCAGAGAGAAGAACAATGTCGGCTCTGAAAGCTGTCTATCTTGATGGGGTTCTGTTAGATTTCGCATGCCATATTATGCTGTATTTAGCTTCTTTTTTTTTTTTTTGGTTTTTTTCCTTTTTAAGTCACGAGAAAATGATGCTGTTAAGGCCCTGCCATCCTTGTGTGGAGGGCTAATTCGAACCATATAAAAAAGTTTCATGTGGAAATCATGGTCCTTTCTTTTCCTGTCAAATGCATTATTGCAGGGGACTACGGCCATGTGGGTTTACACAGTCAATCCCTTCCAGATCATAAACACAGATTACTAGGCTTTTTAACTGTGTTTATAACAAGCTTCTCTCGATTAATTAAACGTCCTCCAAATCGATTTCATTCATGAAACGCAATCGCCTGCTTCTTTTCTTGCGCTGTGAAAGGACAGAATCGTCAATCTTGCAAGTTTTGCGTGTTTTTTTAAGTAAACCTGAAGCAAAGGGTATCCTGTGTATGTCTGATTGTATTACATACGGTCAGGGTCCCCATTTCGGTTTTTTTTTTTGGATGAAATGTTTAATCTATTTCCTAAGAAATGGGGCAGTACATAGTACAGGATCCAAATCTACATTAATAACTTTCGCTAGCTTAACCTATACAGAAATTGAGCTTTACAGTAAATTCCATTTAGGTTATTAACCGAATAACCGAATCAAACTGAATCGAATAAGATATAGCCGTACCCGAACCGGATCCAAAATCAAACCGAATGGTTATGATTTCTTTAAACCCGAAAAAACCGAAACCGAACCGAACCGAATAAAAAATAATCGAAAAAACTGATAATTTTTTTGAAAAAATGAATTTATCGAAACCGAACCGAAATTTATATAAAAACCGAATAGTTATAGTTTTTCTATGATCGAAATAACCGAACCCGAATATAACCGAACCAAAACCCGGAATGGCCATCCTACGTACGGTTTTCTATTGCCAAGATCTGGTGGCATTTTTGTAATAAGGCTGGGAACCAGAGGGCAAAGTCTCACCGTGTCTCCTATATCTACGATTCCAATGCTTCAAACTACGTCCATCGAGAGAAAAAGAAGAAAATCAAGAAACAAAAGCATGTCTTCGGTTGCAGATGAAGTGAGACCAAAGGCGAGGGTGTACAGGGGAAACGCCGAGTGCAGAGAGAGGACGAGGCTTTTCTTCAAGGAGCTGGCCGTGCCCAATGGGTTGCTGCCATTGAAGGGCATCGAAGAATTCGGTTACGAGGAGGAGACGGGGTTCATGTGGATGAAACTGAAAGAGAGCATAACCCACAGGTTTCGAAAGATCGGGAAACTTGTGTCTTACGGTAACGAGATCACGGCCGTGATAGAGAAGGGTAAGCTGAAGAACCTGACCGGCTGCAAGGGGAAGGAGCTTTTCTTGTGGATAACGATCAAAGAGATGATGGTAGATTACCCCACGAAGGGGAAAGTCACGTTCAAGATCCCGTCCGGACTGTGCAAGACGTTCCCCAGCTCGGTGTTTGAGGACACTGATGACGAGGACGAGGAGGACGTAGACGGTTAAAGAGGTCTGGCTGTTGTTTTTGTTTCACTGATTCAAGAAATTGTTAAGAACCAAATCTTGAAAAAGTTTGATTTTGAGTTTGTGTTTGTATGCATCTGTTGTCCTAAGCCGTTGTGTCTGAAGCTTTCATGTTTCCATAGCATTATCCCATCGATATCAGTAAAAGTTTGCTTTCTGTATATATTCCACTGGCGATGATATTAAACCAAGAACGAAAGAGAAACTGAACTTTATTTTTTGTCCGTGGATAAACAACCGAAATGAAACCGTAATCAAGGGAAATCTTTCTTAGCTTATGAATGGTTATAGTTTTTATTTTGAGTTTTGGTTTTTTTAGTATTTGTAAATCCAGAAAAATGGAGATTTTGGTTTTTATTTATTTTTTCATTAGAATAGGTTCCAAATTTTTAGAAAAACTAAATTTACAAAATCTTGATTGTCAATTTTTGTGGTTTATGGGATTCTAAATACTCAAATAACATGTTCCATTCAGGCCCTGTCTTTTCTAACACGAGATCATTAATTCAATACGAAATTAGTATACTAAGAATTTTTTTTTTTTGATAACCAGGATGGTTCCCCGGGCCTTCGACCTGACTACATCCACCCTAGGCTCGGGACCAGCCTTTGTGTATGGACCATTTTGATCTAGAAATTAGATCCCTCCCCACCAGTGGAATCGAACCTATGACTTCGAGGATGACTTTGTCACCTCTCAACCAGTGGGTCATCAACTCTTGGGTAGTAGTATACTAAGAATTGCATGCCAATGTATACGTCTAATGAGAAGGGAAACCGTAGGAATAAAGGCAACGAATTACAGAAGATGAAGAAAAAAATGTGAAATAAACTTTTATTTCAAATGGTTTTATGTGTTGGAAATAATTTATTGTATAGTTTTTCAAAATAAAATGATGGTTTTCTATCAATAAAATGTTTCCTCCCTTTTTTTTTTGGGGGGAGAGGGGGATCTTACCATATTTATGTGGGGGCCAAAGGCTTTGTCTTGACTTAAGAGAATGTCATCTTAATGAAAGCCAGATTCCTCCCTCACCAATGTATGTTTGAGATGCCTGGTTGTGCCAATTGCCCTAGTTGACAAATAGAAGTATGTATGTATGTATGTATGTATGTATGTATGTATGTATGTATGTATGTATGTATGTATGTATGTATGTATGTATGTATGTATGTTCTTATGTATGTATGTATGTATGTATGTATGTATGTATGTTCTTTTTCCTGCAAGATTTATTGATTGATAAGGAGATATATATAGATATATATGTATGTGTGTGTGTGCACATATGTAATTATGTATATATGTATGTGTGTGTGGATAACATGTTGGTTATTTCTTGCTGTACCACGACTAATTTTCAAGCTTTTTCATTTCAATTATTATAATTTGTTTATCATTTCGTATTATTTTCTGGAAAAAAAATTTAATCGGATGCCCTCGAGTTTGTTTTAATTCTGAATTTTTAATATAATATTTATCTTTAATAAATCAGGTCGAAAATAAACAAGGATTCAGAATTTGTGTTAACCAAAAGAAAAGAAAAAAAAAACATCCCCCACGTCGTTTCACATGCATGAGGATAAGGTTGTTACATAGACATATATAACTGTACATATACATTGTCTTTATAGTTAATAACGACGTAGCCGGAAAAAAGCTTCGTTTGACTTCCAAACTCTGAACTTTGACCGCAATTGCTCTCTCTCTATATATATATAGTTATTTGTTTTGCTATTTTTATTATTATAAACGTTTGTATTTTAGAAAAGACCAATCGCTGTTAAGTGGTTATCGTGTTAGCAGATGAGAAAGTCTTATTAATTACTATTTGTTTATTGAAAACTGTCGCACCCACATTTCTTCATTGACGTGTCATAAATTACCATATAAGTTCAAGATGTTGTTTTTGTCTTTGAAACATTATGTAGTAGAAAGATTAAATGACAATACTTTACCAAAAAGAAAAAAGATTAAATGACAATAACATATAATATAAAAAAAACAACAATAAAATACAGAGACTATCAATTTCGTGAATAAACATTCGTGGTTTTGCTTTTAATATCTTTGAAAGTTTTTGTGCTAATTAATTCCCTGGACCGTCTTGTGAATAGGTGTGCATAGGGTTTTAAATTTAGGTGTCATTATGGTTTTGACATGAGGTTGAGGTACTGAATAGGAAAGTAGCATTCCGTTATTCCATACAAAGAAGACAATCTTGCTTATTTTTGTTTACCAAAAAAAAAAAAATCTTGTTTATTATTTGTGTAATAATATTGATTTATGTAACGTTAATATTCTCTATACATCTTAAGATTTTCTTACCACAAGATTTCTTTTAACATAAGTAAATTAATATCGTGTTTTTTTTTAAAAAAAAATTATTACATACCTCTCTTAATGGTATGAAAATATTTAATTGACAAGAATAGGCATTGGTGAGAGATTTTACAAAAAAACTTCTGGTATAAATTTACAAACCATAAAAAAAAAATTTAAAAAGAAAAACTCGAAATTTGTGTGATAGATTATTCCTAATTTCTTGCTAATTTTAGATGGATTTAATCAAACTCAAAGATAATATGATAGATAATCAATAAATATGAAAAAAAAATAAAAAAAATAGAAATGATTCATCTTAATAGATCTAAACCAATTGAACTATACAAAACGTGTTAATTCAAAAGTTTTGAATGCTTATTAGAACCTTCAATTTATTTATTTTTTTCAAAAAATTAACTAAAAAAAATATGTTTTCACTATTCGATTTTGATGGGTTTCTTACAAAATGAATTTGATGTACATTGAAGCTTCGACCAATGCATATTCAAGCAACGTCTTAATCTTCAGACATACGTTTCAAACGACAGTCTTTCTTCATTTACTCTTTCATGGCATTCTTATATCTATAAACATAAGCTATTAGCGCTTACAAGAAAAGCTTATGCTGGGTTTCGAGTTGATAAGCCGTAGAAATAAAAATCGAACGGAACTTAATAAAATCCAAACTAATTCGATTTAGGATTTGAATAGGGATGTCTTTTATTTTGAGTTTTTGGTTTTAGATTTTGGATTTTAGTTTTTAGTTTTTGGTTTTTGAATTTTATAATATTTGTAAATTCAAAAAATTGTAGTTTTTGGTTTTTAATTGATTTTTTCACCAAAATTCTTTTAATTTTTTTTAAAAAAGTAATTTTATAAAAATTTGAATTGTAGTTTTTTTGGCTTTTGAATTCTAAAAACTCCAAATATTCAAGGTCTAAATTTAAATCCGATTAAATTTATAAATAAATCAAATGTAGCCAAAACAATAAAAACCGATAAAACCAAAATAGAAACCAATTCAATCTTCAGCAAATATAATATTTTTGTTATCAAGTAAGTTCGAAACGCCATATGTATAACCAACATAAAACCGAATCATGTTTAATTAATTCCGTTATATTTTAGTTTTTCGAACCAAACCAAATACTCCCTCCGTTTCAAAATATTTGTAATTTTAGATTATTTTTCATATTTCAAAATATTTGTCATTCACGCTTTCAAGACATTTTTTTTACAATAGTTTCTAATTTTATCCCTATTAAATTCTAATAAATTATTAATGATAATATTGTTTTTATAAATAATGATATATGACTTTTTCTATTTTTTCTTAAAAAATGTGAATAACCTAAAACAACAATTATTTTACGAACAGATTATTTATTTTACCAGGTAACAAATGAGAAGCCGCCACATTAAACGCTACATCTCCAACGTCAAAAAACTCTTTAAAATCTGGTGATGAAACAGAAACGTTTATCATAGCTTTCTGTCAAAAAATTTCGAGCTTAGTGTTTAACCACCTAATCGAGCTGAAGTTATGTCAGACATCGCCATTGATGAATCAAGGGAAAATGCAAATATCTGTGAAAAACCGGAATATATATATATATGGTTATGAGGATGGAGCAAAAACGTTTTGAGTCAGATTTCCATGGAAATTTTTCGAGCATAAGAAGTGTTTTATTCAGTTAATCAAAGCTGAGTTTATATCAGAAATCGTCACCTCATTGATGAATGAATGGAAATTGCAAAACTCTATGAAAAATCGCAAAAATCTAATGGTTCTGGTGATGAAGCAAAAACGTTTTGAGTCAGATTTCCGGGGATAAAATGAGTTTAACCACTTAATCAAGGCGAACTACAAACCTGCAAAGCTCCTTTAGAGACAATATCTTGACAGAGCTTGTTGGAGTTTTTGACAAGATTGCTCAATGCACCTGCTGCGTTCACTTTTGTCTTGTCTCCCCCTGCCGATGTCAAGACGTTTGCCAGTTGTGGTATAGACCCTCTTAGTTCATCGTACAACATGTCGTTATGGTAGGCAGCATTACCGATCTGCAATGTCAAAGAGAGGTTTGGAATTGATCAAAATATCATGGAAAGTACGGGAAATCAATCTATATATCTTAAGATCTTACAGCAAAACATGCGAATTTTTGTGTTCGTTTGTCAGGATCAGCACACCGATCGATGAGGAGAGTGACTATTTGATGTTCCGCCTACATTTTACCCAATGTCAGAAACTCAATAACACTTTAACAAGAGAGCGCTTTTCTGGAACTTTGAACAATCCTAGAAGCAATTCTCACCATTTAGGGTAATAATACAAAACTTAATTCTACTTACAAGAGAACTGTAGAAGTATCCGTTGTATCGGCACATGTTCCCAATAGCTCTGCACGCCTTTGCGCGTACATTTGGATCTTCGTGAACGAGAAATTCCTTTAAGGGCTCCAAGACAGAAGCCTCACCAATATATTTATAGAAGGCCTGATGTTTCATGTTAGCAAAAAAATAGATAAAAACCTTTTAGATCATGGTATAATCATAATCCTCTCATCACATTTATCAAAATGTCTCTGTTTTTGCAGGAATTCACAGGAAGATTATCCGGATGGCACGAAAAAAGGTCCGGGAAAGATAATAATTGCGGCTGTGAGATCGAAACAGGCTCGTTCAACCAAAGGATACAACATATATTCAGAGATTTCCATAAAAAAACAATGACAAAGTAGTATAAGAGAGGAACTAAGCATGAAATTTCTATGCATCAAGTGAGAATCTTTATGAGCAACTTAGAAAGCTTACCTCGTGCAACATTGCTAGATCAGATATTATCATCAGTGTATCAAGTATGACTTCTATTGGGGCTGAAGGGTTGAGTAGCTTTCTCATTCTGTTAGGTTCCAATAAGCCTTTGCTAACAAGTTCCACAGCAAGAGACCGACATTGCACCATTTTTGCTAGAAATGCAACGGGTTTTCCTAAATCTTTCAAATCCAAGTGTTCCAAGCAACGGAGCATTAAACAGGGCATTCCCACCTGAAAATTTAGACAAAAGTTAAGCAAGTTGCTAAGAATTATGCCATGGATTTGCAGTGCCTAGAGAATTTGATTTGTCTTCGGTCTGAATTTAGAGACCTAAGAGAATAGTGGTGGGCGTTGAAACCCGATACCTGCAGGTTCACGAGTATTCGGTAATGAACGAAGTCGAGCTCGAGTTGGATGAGAAGAGGAACACAGGCCACAGGTTCGGGTTTTGCCATCGCGTGACTACTTATCCACGGGTACACGTGCAAAATGATGCTCATACCCCTAGTGTTTTAGGACAACTGTAATAATATATAGGTTTGTTTTCGTGCAAAATTACTGTTATTCCTATGATGGTCATAGAACCAGTGGGCAGGTCTGAGGTCAAACACCCAAAAAACCGTGCCCACCTCTAAAAGAGAATGGAGAACAAGCTCTTTCGAGACGACTCACAAATACTATCTTCAAAAATCAAATAAAAACTGTTTGTCTGGAGGAAAATGGAGCCTAAATGTCTCTAACTCTGCCTACGAGACACCTAAAGAACACAAAAGATTCCAGTTGACACAAACAAGACAAAATACATAAATCAAAGGACAGAATCCGAAACCTTACCTCCACGAGAGCCTTAATGTATCTGTCCATGTCTTCTTCCATTGCTTTTACCAAATCCCTATCTTCCACGCACACTCTCATACCAGGCGAACCCATGTTGAGGATGAATCCACTGTTTACAGATGCAGTGGCAGGTGGAGAACCCGGCCCACTCTGCACAGCAATAAAGGGAAATGCTAGGAGATCGATTAACACATTTGCTGTCTCTCTTACTCCGTCCTTTCCTCCCCCGGGTCCTCCCCAGTTCTTTACCAGCTTGAGATGAATATCAGACATCAAACCTGATATCAGTTTCAGGTTTCCACTCTTACCAAGAACCTGATGAAAAGTTAAAGTGCTGCGCCAAAGACAGTGGCATATTGATGAAACGGTCCATAAAACACCAAGAGGGGATAAGCCAATCAGGTTGGGGTTTTGGTTTATGCTGTCAGGGGAAGCGTTTGAAAAGTTGCCAGCTAACAGATGTATTAGAAGCAAAGGTGTACCACTAGCAATCAGCTGCTGCACAGCCACTGGTCCTCCCCATTTCAACCTGGATTCTAACAAACCTGATACAACTCTCATTTTCGAATAACACTCTGTTGTTTCTTTCAGAAACTGAAAATAGAATCAAATGGAGTGTTTTGGCTGATGATTGTTAAATCAAAAGCATAACTTCATTCTTTTTGCATCATAACATACATATACGTTCTTACACAGATAATAAATTAAAACAACAACTGCATAAAACTGAAACATACATAACTGTCTGAAAAATAACTTCTTAATAACCAACTTCTAGCCTTATCTTCAATCTGACTTCTTCTGTCTTCTGGTGCTGAAGTCATGAGCCACACTGTCCGTTTCCAACATACTCCTTCTTGGCTCAAGGCTTCACACTCATTCCTATCATTTCCCTTAGCAATTCAAAACGCCCAACGTTGAATGCCTTGGTAAAAATATCAGCTTTTTGATCCTCTGTCTTGCAATAAACCAGACTGATCTCACCTTCTTGCTGAGCTTCCCGTAAGAAATAATACTTTATCTTGAAATGCTTGGTCTTGCCATGAAAAACAGGGTTCTGCGAAATTGCTATAGCAGCTTGGTTGTCGATTGAAATCTTGGTTGGACCCTGCCATTTTACCGACAAGTCTTCTAATATCTTTCTTATCCATATTGCTTGCTTCGACGCTTCTGTTGCTGCGACAAATTCTGCTTCAGCAGTAGACTGCGCAACAATTCCTTGCTTCTTTGAACTCCATGAAAAACACCCTGATCCCAACGAAAAACAGTACCCAGTAGTGCTTCTCATATCATCACTTGATCCTCCCCAATCACTGTCAACAAATCCTTTAAGTTTAGGTTCTTCGACTTTACAGAATCTGACTCCGAATGTGAGAGTGCCTTTCAGATACCTTAGCACTCTCTTTGTTGAGATCATATGCTCCTTCTTGGGTGAGTTCAAGTATCTGGATAATGCACTGACAGCAAACAAAATATCAGGTCTTGATGCTGTCAGATACATCAAACAGCCAATTAAACTTCTGAATGTTCCTTCTTCAACTGGTTCTCCGTCTTCGAACTTCTGCAATTTCTGTTTCTGATCCAGTGGAGTCTTCATTGTCTTGCAATCTTCCATGTTAAACCTCTTCAAAATCTATCTCAAATACTTCTGCTGACACACGAAAACTCCTTCACTGGACTGATGAACTTCGAGTCCCAAGAATTGAGACACAAGTCCAAGATCTGTCATCTCATACTCATTGCTGAGATAAGTTTGCAGCTCCTTAATTTCTGAAATGTTGTCTCCTGTAACTAGAAGATCATCTACGTACAGGGACACTACAACCATGCCAACCTTGCTCTTCTTCACATAGAGAGTATGCTCACTTAAACTTCTCTTGAATCCCAAATTTCTGAAACTTTTGTCAATCCTCTCATACCAGGCCCTTGGTGCTTGTTTAAAGCCATATAGAGCCTTCTTCAACTTGTAAACCTTCTTCTCTTGTCCTTTCACTATGAAGCCTTCTGGTTGTTCAACATATGTTTCCTCATTCAAATCACCATTCAAGAAAGCTGATTTCACATCCATGTGAAACACTTTCCAATCATTTTGAGCAGACAATGCCAATAACAGTCTGACAATGTCCATACGAGCCACAGGTGCAAATGTTTCAGAGAAATCCACACCCCAAGCTTGTGCATAACCCTTCACCACAAGTCTGGCATTGTACTTGTTTACTGAACCATCCGGATTAAGCTTTGTTCTGTAAACCCACTTAACTCCAATCACCTTTTTCTTGGCTGGTCTCTCAACTAGAACCCAGGTTCCTGTCTTGTTGATCATACCCAGTTCTTCTTCCATAGCAATTCTCCATTTCTGATCAAGTTTAGCATCTTCATAACTTGAGGGCTCCATTACTGCAATGTTGCACCTCTCATAAATATCTTCGAGTGATCTAGTTCCTCTCACAGGCATGTCATCAGGTTCATCATCTATTTCAATTCTGGTGTCTCCATCTGCTACTTGCAATGGTTCTTCTTCTCCTCGTGTATCAATCATGTCACTTTCTTCTTCTGACATTTGCTCTTCAGACCTACTAGACCACTCCCATTTCTCTTGTTCCAAAAACTTAACATCTCTACTTACTATAACTCGATTTGAGTTTGGTAAGTAAATTCGATAAGCTTTAGAAACAGAACTGTAACCAACAAATATACCCTTCTCTGCTTTCTCATCCAGCTTATCTCTCTTAACTTCAGGAACCAAACTGAAACATATGCATCCAAAGATTCTGAAGTTTGTACAAGTTGGTTTCTTCCCCGTCCAAGCCTCATAAAGGGTTTGCTTCTTCAATGCTTTGGTTGGCAACCTGTTGAGAAGAAATACAGCTGTACTTGAAGCTTCTGCCCAAAAATGTTTGGGAAGTCCTTTCTCATGCAGTAGACATCTAGCCATTTCCATTATGGTTCGATTCTTCCTCTCACTCACCCCAATCTGCTGTGGAGAATAGGGAACCGAGAACTGATGCTTGATTCCAGCATTCTCGCAAATGGATCTGAATCTACTTGAAGTATACTCAATTCCATTATCAGATCTGATCATCTTGATCTTCTTACCACATTCATTCTCAACTTCATTCTTGAACTTTTCAAATATCTCATCAACTTCTGACTTCATCTTCAGAAAATAAATCAAACACATGCGGGAGTAGTCATCAATAAAGATTAAGAAGTACCTGCTTCCTGTCAGTGATGGAACAGGCATGGGACCACAAACGTCAGTGTGGATCAGTTGGAGCTTCTCGGATGCTCTCCATGTCGAGGAACTAAAAGGTAACCTCTTCTGCTTTCCAAGAGGACAAGTCTGGCAATCTGTCACAGCCACCTGAATTTCAGGGAGACCTTCAATCATCTTGTTTCTTGCCATGTGTGACAGACCTTTACCATGGAAATGCCCTAATCGTTTATGCCACAGATCTTTTTCAGTAAACTGAACCTTCATTGCTTCACTCCTTCTCACATCAGGAATGTAAGAAAAACTATTGTTTTTCATCCTGATCTTGAACAGACATGGATTGGTATCATTTCCAATGACACATTCTTCATTTCCAAACCAGACTTTATACCCTCTTGAAATAAGTTGAGCCACACTTAACAAATTCTGATCAATATCTGGAACATACAAAACGTCAGGCAAAACTTTAACACCCTTTGCAGTCTTGATATACACGTCTCCTTTGCCTGCAACTGTGATATATTCACCATTTCCGACTTTAACTTTCGAACTGAAAGAAGTGTCGAGGTCTTTGAACAGACTTCGATCACCAGACATGTGGTTTGTACAACCACTATCAATCAACCAACCATCTTGGTCACCACATGATGTAAGACATGTGGCAACAAACAAGTTTTCACCTTCGGTTGTTTCAGCAGGCTTGGCCTCAGCATTCTGCTTTCCCTTGTTTCTGCAAAATCTTTCAATGTGACCAAGCTTGTTACAAGCGCGACACTTGACATTCGGGTTTCTCCAGCACCTCCAATGAGGATGATTCTTCTTGTTGCAATGCTTGCAAGGCTCTGAGAAATTCTGGCTCGAGTTTGCTTCCTCTGAAAAATTTCCCTGCTTCTTAATTTCTCCTTCTGGTTTTTGTTTCTTCTGCCTTCCCTTCCCCGAACCTTTTCCTTTGGCCTTTGCCATCAATGCTCCTTCAACCGATTCTTCCTTTCTCATGTGTCTCCTCTGTTCCTGTGCTTGGAGGGCACTCAGAATTTCTGGAAGCTTTATGGCAGACAACTCTTTTGTGTTCTCCAGTGATGCAATGGTTGCTTCAAATTTTTCAGGAACAGAGAACAAAATCTTCTGTACTATCTTATCATCATCAACCTTAGTACCCAGAATCCGGATGTTGTTGATTATGTTAACAAGTCTGTCAACATAATCTTTCACTGACTCATCTCCTTTCATCTGTTGCCTTTCAAACTCTCGCAACAGGTTTAGAACTTCCATACCTCTTATCTTTTCATCTCCTTCATACTCGGTCTTGAGAAAATCCCACATCGCCTTAGCAGATGCAAGATTCATAATCTTGATCAGAATTGATGGCGTAACCGCAGCAAAGATACATGACTTCGCCTTGGACTTCTTCGTGACCCTTTCCCTGTTGTTTCTCAACTGAGTCACGGTTGGATTTGCAGGTAATGGAGGGATTTCATACTCGTCTTCTACTGCTTCCCAAAGATCTGCACCTTCGAGAAATGCTCTCATTCTTACTGCCCAGATCTGATAACCTTCTCCATTGAAGATTGGTGCAGATTGGACAGGATTTGGAACTGACATGGTTTCAACTGAATCCATATCTTCGGACTTCTGATTCCCTTACACAGATCCCGCAAAGATCTCCTTCTTGCTCTGATACCACTGATACAACTCTGATTTTCGAATAACACTCTGTTGTTTCTTTCAGAAACTGAAAATAGAATCAAATGGAGTGTTTTGGCTGATGATTGTTAAATCAAAAGCATAACTTCATCCTTTTTGCATCATAACATACATATACGTTCTTACACAGATAATAAATTAAAACAACAACTGCATAAAACTGAAACATAGTCTGAAAAATAACTTCTTAATAACCAACTTCTAGCCTTATCTTCATTCTGACTTCTTCTGTCTTCTGGTGCTGAAGTCATGAGCCACACTGTCCGTTTCCAACAAAACCGATACATCCATCTCGAAAGCCATGCCATTTGGTAAGATGACAATCAGAACAATTAGATACGACTTCACCTTCCTTATTTGGCATAAGCCGCAGATGAGAACAGAGTGTAGCAACCGGAGGAATCAAAGGCACAGCAATCTCAGAGACAGAAGATTCAACAGAAGGTCCCCTTTCGAGAGAGAGAATGGACGCAAAAGCCAGCATAGCTGATGAAGAGTGATTCTGAAGAGAAGCTCCAATTTTATCATCCGACGAAATGTGATTTGTAATGGCGGAAAGACGATGTAGATGTTTCTTTGGAGAAGTCGTGAGCATAAACAGTGCAGAATTTCTCCCGGTTAACTTCAAACACTGAGCAACTGTTGCCAAAAAGAGGCATGAATGGACGACCACATTGTCTAATCTGCACTTCAAGTTATTTTTGTCTCCTGTGTGTACTTCCTTGCTTGAAGATGTAGCACAAGATAATATAGAAAATATTTCTGAAATAATGGTACCATCTTCTCCGCCACTGACAATAGTAGTCCCAGGAAGTGAACTGGGAAGACCACAAAGCACACTAGGAACGATTCCATTGTGGAGACAGCATCTTGACAAAATCTGAAAAATTATAGAACATTATCAAGTAAGTTTCAACGCAGCCGACAAAAGAAATGCAGGCTTAGGTTGAGCAAGTAAACTACAGGTTTGTTAACACAAAATTTCTAACTTTTCCAGCTTAGCTTTACCAAAAAAATGGAAAGCATCATCACACGATCACCTGTATTGCAGCAACCATTGGAACCTCCACACGTTGGCGAAGACAATGGCTGACAGCAACTTGCACATGTTTTGTTCTGAGAAACGCTTTTGTTACCGTCTCAACAAGTTTTTCAGAGAATGGACCCCACTCTGTGTTACTTGGATCAAACTGAGAAAAATGATGATTGTGCAAAGCATCTATAGGGAATCCGTTGACATTGCCATTCTTGAATAGGGTTTCAGAATTATCTATGAGTATCCATATTGCCATACAAGCTTCACAGGCAGCTGGCAACATGTTTGAGGAACCACAAGACAAACTTGATCCAGAAGATGCCAAACAAAGACACAAATGATCAACCAGGCGGGACATATTAGCATGCTCCGTAATTTGTTTAGATACTCCATTTCTGCTGCAAGCAGAAACAGTGCTAGAGGATTTGAGATCTTGAGCAACTCGAGACAACATCGTTGAAAGGCAAGCACAGGACTCATATAAAATTCTCCCATTTCCATCTCCCCATCCAACAACCTACATACAGTACAGAAAAACTAAAAAACTAGATATACACCGAACTAATTGCAACACAAATGAATGTTAAAATGATGGTTACCTGTATATAAATATCCACTAACTTGGTCCAATGTCTGATGTAAGAATTATGGATGCTACCGACTCCAGTTTGTCCTACCAAGCTTCTAATCACAGAAAAACTCTGCAACTGAAATAAGTCAGCATCGCAAACAGCAGTAGAAAAAGCACATGGTTTAGTCAGAAAATGTTTTTCTGACTCAAAAGTCCTGACAGAAGTTGCGAGATGATGAAGTCAACATTATCATAAAAGAAAGATTTCCGTGACAAGTGAAGTGTTTCATAAGGGAAGCAGAAATGTTGAGAGATTGCAGCCAGTAACTCGGAAACCAATAAGGCAGAAAATTTGACAATAGCTAAATTCAGAAAGTGACAGCAACCATCTATAAATGTATTTGTTAATCGTGAATTGGGGATTTAAATCTTTATTCTAAAAAATATATACCAGTTGAAATCACCATGCCAGAAACCATGAAACATAAACAGCTGGAAGTAGGGAATTCCTCCCTAAGAGAACAAGCATTCACCTTTGGTATTATGTTGCTGACTTTGATAGAACCCACCCATTAATAATGGGCCCAACAAAGTCTCAAAGCCCATGGGTAGAACTCACCCCAAAAGCTAGCTTATTGGGGGAGGGTGCCCATGGTATTATATTGACTCAATTGTTCCCACATATTTCCGATGTGGGATTCTAACAATACCGCCCCCTTTAGACAGCGACGACCACGGCGCTTGCGGCTTCTCGGTCGCTGGCGGCTACGCACCCTTTGTGCTCCTCTCCCGACCGTTCCTCTCCCGCCGCGTCGTCTGCATGTCCGAAGATCGGTTGGCTCTGATACCAATTTGATAGAATCCACCCATTAATAATGGGCCCAACAAAGTCTCAAAGCCCATGGGTAGAACTCACCCCAAAAGCTAGCTTATTGGGGGAGGGTGCCCATGGTATTATATTGACTCAATTGTTCCCACATATTTCCGATGTGGGATTCTAACAATACCGCCCCCTTTAGACAGCGACGACCACGGCGCTGGCGGCTTCTCGGTTGCTGGCGGCTACGCACCCTTTGTGCTCCTCTCCCGACCGTTCCTCTCCCGCCGCGTCGTCTGCATGTCCGAGGATCAGTTGGCTCTGATACCAATTTGATAGAACCCACCCATTAATAATGGGCCTAACAAAGTCTCAAAGCACATGGGTAGAACTCACCCCAAAAGCTAGCTTATTGGGGGAGGGTGCCCATGGTATTATATTGACTCAATTGTTCCCACATATTTCCGATGTGGGATTCTAACAGACTTCCAATGATTTCATCCGAACAAGAGCAGCAGTAAAATCAAGTAGTACACAAGTTATTTTGTCAATCACTTCCCTGGAAACTGTGGCACCAGCTGCAACCAAATGGGAAAGGATCCTGAGGGACTGAACAGACCAGACAGCATTTTTGTTCCTGTACATTCATCAGAAATGAGAGATGTTATGCAACCATGGAATGACCAGAAGACATCATGAATTCCAACAAGTCACTGAAGTGGGTAAAAATCCTAAAAAGGAAAGGTTCAACTGTAGACCAATCTGTATACATCAATAGCCCTAAGCAACTAAATAACAATCAGATTATCATCCCCTGACATGCTTGTTTGGGCCTTTGTAAACAATGAATAAGGACAGAACCCTACAATAAGAAACTGAGAAATGTTCATGGACCCAGATCTTATACAGCCGTTTATATGAACCACATCTGTTGCAAAACGAACAGGAACATCCAAACTTTCTATGTTATATTAGAGTACAATTCCACGGACCCATTGTGAAAGTCGTTCCTAGGAGTATCAAAATGAATAGAGCTTCCAAAGAGCAAAATAAGATGGTAAAAAAAGCTAAGCAGCAATTCCAAATGTAGAGATCACAACTAGTTACAGAGCTAAAGCATGACTACCTCACTTAAAAGTATAGGAACGTGGAAGACATATAATGCTGCACGGATCCACCTGATTAAAATTTTGAAAATAGTTGGTCTTTTAGCAAGATCTTCCACACCCGAACCCTACTCATTGACAATTTGACACATGCAAACTATGTACTGCTGACCAAACCTCCAGAAAAAACAATCCTAATTTTTTTTTTTTGGTATAAAATCCTAAATTTCTTCAGCCATTGGAAGATTTCCATCCATAATTCTGGTGATGAAGAAAGTAGGTCAAGAGACGTTTTGACTTTTTATCATGTAAATGAAAAAAAAAAATCAATGCGGTTTCCAAACAATTAGTCATCTATTTTTCTATTTCATATGCGCAAACATTACACGATCTGGCTAGCCGCATTCTCAAACAGAGAAAAAAGTACCAATGAACGAACATGCAAACAAAAATCCATCACACCTCAGCTTCAAACAATTATGTTGCGGCTATAAGAGGATTGATGGATTATGCATATAATGCTCAATTTGGTGACTAGCTATTTGAAGACAAATGAAAACTACGTAGAAGAAATTCCAATCCCCAAAACTCACCATGAGTATGATTGTCTGAGCACAAGCAATAAGATTCAAAAGAAATAAATTGGCCCAGCAAATTTTAACCTGCTAGTGTCTCGCGATGGTTTAAACCATCTTTCCAATGGCATCAAAACAAGACCCAATCTTCCTCATCTTCAACAACAACTTTGGCACCTTTAACTGTGCGGGACGTATTGTCCAATCTGTCTAATGTTGCATTACCTGAAGAAAAATAACAGCACAAGCATGAATGAAGATGGTATATGGCCTAGTCGCAAATGAAGCTAAGAAACCCCATAGAGTTCTGTTGAGGCTTTTCTGTCTAACTGATATACGCACGGAGCCAAGGAAGTCTCGCTCGTTTCCTTCGGTGAAATGCAGTTTGTACGTGTGTGACTTATGTTGCCTTTGGGCAACGAATGCAGCTAACTCAAGACCAGGGGACACTTGGAGTCTCACTAAGGTATTTCTACAGGTATAGTTAAGAGGAGAACCAGGCCAAAGGGCCCTCGGAATCCCTAAAAAACAATCTGCAAATCGGACTACAAACAGAGCACTCGAGAGCACTCGGTTTAGGTGATAGATGGAAGGGAAGTTCCAGGCCAAAGAGCACTCGGATGATTCCCAATTTTTGATGGAAGATAGGGGTATGAAAGAGGATTCAAAGGAGTCAAACCAACCTTGAATCCACCACGTTTTGACCTTGCACAAGGGTGACACACACACACATGCGCAGAAGGCGATACTCTCGGACACACCAAGAAGAAGAAGCAAAATGCAACTCGATTTCTTATCAATTCAAAAGTCTCCAATATTGACATGCAAAGGTCTTTAAATAGGCTTGAAACACAGAAGAAATCAAAGAGAACTCGTGCATGAGGAGGAGCTAACAAAACATTAAAGAAAGGTAATGGGAAACAAGACACCATAAAGTAAGGAACAAGTGGAGAGTTGGTGGAAGTGGAAGGCCAACGTCTTGCAACGACTAGAAGGCTTAAAGAAGGTCTTCATGAGGTTGAAATAATGTAGAAAACATCCCCAATTCGTGCTTGATAAAGGTGGGCCGAAATTGGGTTCAAAGGTGGCACCATATCCTCTCCAATGGGTTGGTATCTTCTTGGACTTGTGTAGAATATGTTTGGGCTCTTTGGGCTTGGATCTTCAGCCCATTTATCGAGAATACATTCTTCAAATATCTTCTTAGTAGCCCAGGTGTTAGTCCACGAAATCTTAAGTGTTGGACAACACAAACTCCAAGACATTGCGATGTTTTGTGCTTGTTGCCGCTATCGTGTCCTTTGCATTGTATGGCCCCTTGTCGGATGTTTTGATCAGCCATTCTTCGACATATGCATTGATCTTTGAACGTAGGCTTCGAGTCCTTTGTCTTGTGAGTGGAGGTATGGGAATGGTTGGCATGGTAAGCTCGGTGTCCACTTCTTCTCCTCCTATAGCGTCTATGGCATCGTCTTGCTTCTCGTTCGGGTTTTGTTCGTCCTCGTCCATGTCTTGGTCGATGTCCTCATCACTAACATAGCAAAACGATGAACTAAGGTCTCCCACTACGTGATGCAAAGAGACAACAGAAGAACATCAAATGTGAAGCTAAGTTGAATCCACAGATCAACTGTGCAGCCAAGTTATTCCTTTCTTAGCATCTTCTAGATGAAAGAACATTCTGAAAATTAAATCAAACACCTCTCATTACCTGAACTTTTTATCTCCCCTTGACTTGGAAATCCACTGATATCCTCAGGAGATGGAGGATTTACATTGACAGCATTCTTAATAGTTGCCTGAACGTCATTTTCAACTGAAACAGTGGTGTTCTCAAATGTGGCCAGAGAGTCGCATTTTTCTGTTACATGTCAACACTTGACAATCATGAGAGAAGCATAACTAGTTAAAGATGATGAATTAGCGCAGACTGGAGAAAATGAAACCAGTTCGCTGTTGGACACTGTTCCCATTGAGTCGCCAAGCCGCCTTATGTTCAAGCCCTGCAGCATGAATTTCCTGAACGAAGGTTCACAATGTGTTTAGAGACCACACTATTCCAAGACGGATCCCAATTAAAATCCTTTTGGCTGAAAGAAAGACTATTTCAGCAAACGTTCTATGTTACATTAGATGCTTAAGCTACATTATATAAGAGTATTAGATTGTTACCCTGGCTTGTATTTCATCTGGTGATTCTTTAACAAAGGGATGCTCAAGTAGAGCAGGCCAACTTAGTCGATTATGTGGTACCTATTACACATAACAATAAAGAACATTAGAGAATCAACTTAAGATAGTTTCAAGCACATAAATAGATGAACATGATTGGATATCACAAAAGAGTATAGTTAACCTTGTTGAGCAATCCTTTCAAAAAGCTTTTGAAATTGGGACTCATTTCGTTAGGATATTTAACAGGTTCCTGCAGTATATTTTGAACATTAGCTCAATATCTGAGCATAGAATATGCACAAGCCTGGGAAGAAACACATACCTTAACAATATGACGAATAAGAGCATACACTGAATTGGTGAAGAATGGGGGTTGACCAACATATAATGCATACCTGTTGCATCACAAGGGGAAAAAAGGCACAAAATCCTAGAGTGAGAAAAATCACCCCCAACTTTTTACCTTTGATGAGCCCTGCAAAAAAGTGGCAATAGTAATAATCTGCGATGACTAGTAAACATGTAATTAATCTCAGCTTGTTTTCTAGTTCATGAAATTAGCATACATAGAGCTTTCAACATCCCTAAAATGAGAAATTAATGCAATCATGTATAAACATCAAGATAAAGACACATGTGGCTTAGCATTAACTAAGTAGTTTTCATGCTAGTTATACATTTTAACAGAGCTGGTCTCCATACTACTGATCCATATTTTAACTTTGAAAACCAAATAAAACTTTAAGCAAAGCTTAAAAAGGAAGAAAACATAAATCTCAAGGCCCCCTTGATTTTGGGTTTACATCTATCTCATAACAATGGTACTTTGTGCAGTTGCTTTTAGCATAAAAGAAGAAGATGGCCCACTCAAGTAAGCTTTTCCACTTAGAATATCACACCAAGAGACCACAGGTCAGCAGTGTGGTTGTAAGGCTGTTCTCTGACTAGCTCTGGTGCCATGTATAGGGGAGTACCTGAAGTAAGGTTTCATCAGTGCAGAATTAGTAAGGCGTGACTTATCAGTAAGCAGTATTCAGGTTATCAGTTATTTAATATGTTTAAGGAAAAGAAAAAGTGGGGTGAACCTTTTATGGATCGCAAGACCACCGTGTTTGCAGACATAGCACGAGCAAAACCAAAATCACATAGCTGACACCATCATAAAGATAAAGAGTAAAAACATGTTAAAAAGGGAAGAAACAAGTAAAAAACAGATGATCAAGCAGCATGCATAAAAACTACTGTCCGACAAATTTAGTGGCTGAAAAAATCAGTGTAACATTCAGATGTCATTGCAAATTTTGAGTAGGGAACCTAGAAGAAGAATAAATGTATATCAATCATTGTTTCAATCCGAACTGAACATATTCTTGTAGTTGCAGCTGACTGTCTTTCCATCATAATAAGACAAAAGATACTTAACTGATGTGAGAGTGGAAAGCATGGAAGTAACATTGCAATTGCTGCCTCACAAGGAATTAATATTACCTTTATGACGGACCCAGCGCCAATAAGAATGTTTTGTGGCTTCAAGTCACGATGCATTATACGATTCGAATGCAGGTAATGCAATGCTTTTACCTACATTGGACATTGGAGAAATTTGGACATCGTCATATCGGTGACAGCAATTAGAAAACAAGATACTGATGAGAACCGTAGCCTGAGTAGTAAAATATTTTACCAACTGCTTTACGATTGCTTGGACTTGCTCTTCGGGAAGGCACTTGTCATCCTCAAGAATCTCAAACAATTCACCCTGAGACATTTGATGAAGCATCAATGATTCATCATATAAATGCACTACAAGATTTCAGAAATAAACTGTTTTGAGAGATATAAATTGTCATAGGAATCTATAAACAATCAGAGAGAGAGAGAAAAAAAGTACTTGGGCAAATTCGGTGACGACACAGAACTCTCGCGCATTTTCAAAAGAGTCGAGCATTTCGATAATATTTTCATGCTTCAGCTTTCGTAATATCTACAGCATAAGGGAAAAGCATTGTCTAAACTGAGTTAACTAAGTCTGTTGGAAAGAAATTACATAAGGTTTTGATAATAGTCAGTGTAGCATGTCAAACACATGTGTCCAAAGAGCACAATCTTATCACCTCAATTTCCTGCCTTAAATTCTGTATATCCTTATCGCTCTTTCCTTGCTTCGTTATAAACTTCATCGCGACGGTCTGAACAAAGATAGAAGAGTTTATGGCATTAGCATAAATGATGTGACTCACCAAGCTGAGCATCCCAAATAAACAAGCAGTGACAAAAACTACAACTTACCTGGCCTGTATACTTTCGTCTTCCTTTGTACACCCTCCCAAAAGAGCCTTCACCTATGAGCTCTATCACATGATAATCTTCAACACCCATATCTGAGTACAATTGTGTTCTTTATAAGCCACAAAAAGAACATCTTTTCTTCATTCAGACATGCGAGGAAACCAGAACCCAGGACAGCAAAATGGGAGTCCGCATCATTGGGACATATAAAAAAAGAGAGCCATTCCAAAACTATTTTGCATTACAACTTCCCATTTCACATAACAGACGACTACGGTAGTCAGAGACGATGATACTACGTGCGGAACAAGGGACATCGTCAACGGAATAATCATTTATCCGTCAGAGATTTCAGACCAGTAACGCTAATAAGTCAAGACTTCAAACCAGAAACCTAGTCAAATTAAGACTTCGAACTACAAACAAAAATCATAGCACTAATTCAAATCAGAAACAATTCGAGTTCAAACCAGTATCAAACCCCAGCTAAATTCGAATTTCTGAGATATCCCTAATACTGACGCAGAAGCCCTAAATGCAGTTCCGTAATTCGAGGAAAATGAAAGACAGTGAGAACGAGACGACGAGAACGACAAAGCACCTGAGAGCGACGGCTGGCGGTCGACTGGAGAATGGCGAGATCAAGAGTTTTTGAACCTAGACGCCTGAGAAAAGTGTGGCCGGTGATTGTGTCAATGGAATCACAATGAGAGAGAGAATTTGCAACCTGCAATTCAGAGAAGAGAGAGATGGAGAGACGGAGAGACCGTACTCGTCGTCGTCGTCGCGAGCAACGGAGCGAGAGGGAAACTGAAAATCAGAGGATCGACGGCTACCGGAGGAAGAGGCAGAGATGGAGGAACCGCTGAAGAAGTAGGGCGGAGGAGATTTTGCCGGCGAAGTGAGGAAGGCGGCGACTGAGGATCACTGCGGAGGAGAGAGAGAGTGGGATATGTATGGAAACTTTGAAATTTGAAGAGAGGGAAAACTCAGAGAGCTTTAGAGAATGGACAATCATTTATCTTTTCTTTTTGTCGTTGTTTTTCTAAGGGAAGAAAAAACAAGATTTTGTCATAATTCTTAGGAAAATGCCAGAAGAAAGTTAACGAATTTTCAGATAACTGACATTTCCAAAATAAATATGAATTTTCAGATATAGCTTTGACTTTTTGCCAATTTATGAGATAAAAATTAATGAAAAAATAAATAATAATTATAAATATCATAAAAATAATTTAAAAGTTCAATATTTTTTAAATCGATAAATTTATATTTATTATGAACATTTTAAAAATTCAGTATTAATATGATAATTGTGTAAAAATTCTGTAACTTTTTTAGAATTTTTTCTTTCTTAACATTTTTTCTTTGTTGAACAAACGAATATGGAGTTTTTGGAAGCGAATAATTGCGGGTGTACTCGTATATTATGGTTAGCACTGTTGGTATTTCGGGTTTTTAGCGAGAGAATTTATTTTTTTTTAAATTACCTTTCGCCTCAATTATTTTTAGAAATCTTAATTAAACATATATAGGTCTTATATCGATTTATTGACTCAGTCCAACTGAATTCATTTTTTAAATAAAAATCGAAATCGAACCGAAACGAAACTAAAACCGAAACTAATCGGGATTGATATTTTTATAAAATCAAAATAACCAAAACGAATTATTCCCCAACCCAACCTGAAATAAGTACCAAGAGGCCCACCTCCTATATGTATGTATGTAACTTTTTTTAATTTTTTTTAAATGATTCTAGAAATGGCAACTTGGGGGAAAGCCTCTTTTTCTATCTGCTTATACTTAGAAAAAATAACAAAAAATGGAATCTGTAATTTCTCAAATAATTTTCTTTTAAAATTCGATTCTTTTTTCCTAAAAAAATATTTGTTTGGTAAAAAGTTATTAGTAAATACTTTATAGTTTCTAGTGGTGTGATATTTTAGTATTCGGACCAATTGATTCCGACATCCTAAGCATTACCTAACTCGGGAACTAGTCATCAAAATATATTATTCTATACCAAATACCAAATGCCTTCTATTTTATTTTGAATAAATACAAATTAAAAATTGAGTTGAATTGATATCAAGATAATTCATATTCAAACTCCATCTTGTTTAAAGTTTTAATAAAACCGAATTTTAGTTAAAAAAAATCAATTAGATATATTTTTTAAAACTGAATTAAAAAACATAAAATGATACAAAATGAAAACAATTTAACTAAAAAAACAAACTAACACACATTAGTTGGTGGTTTAGTGGTTGTGAGGTGACAAAGTTATTTCAAAGTGTTGGATTCGATTCCATTAGTGAGGAAGAGCAAGCCTAATTAATTGTGTGACTAAAAAATAATTCTAGTGGATTTACTCTTAGTTATAAAAAAAGCAAACTAATTTACAAAAATAAACATTTTTTTAATGTGAAAACTATACAAAATTTTATATAAAATTTGAGTAGACATAATTTTATTTTAAAAATAAAATATATTAAATATGTTACTCGGCTAAGAAATGAGCTCACTCACCACCCATTAAAAGCCAAAGGGAATATACACGCAGAAACCCGAAGGGATCATACACGCAGAATCCGAAAAAACCGAACCGATCCGTTATTTAATCCGTATCCGAACCGAAAATTCGGATATCCGGAATTTACAGATCGGATACAAATATTTATTTTGAAATATTTGTCGGATACATATCGGATATGGATATCAAATTCGAATTATCCGACATATCTTATCCGATTCGCACTAACTAATAATATTATTAAATATAAAAATAATTTGCTATAGAGATATAAAATGTTTTATACTTACATATTTTGTAAGAATATTTAAGAAACATTTTATATATATTGAAATTTAGAATGTTTAATCTTTTGAATATTAATATTTATTATGTTTAATTTTTTGAATTTTGAATTTTCAATATATTTGTATATGATAGATTATGATTATATTTGTATTTGAATTGATTTAAAATATTTAAATTTTAAATTATGAATAACATTTAAATTAAATAATTTATATAATTTATTTATATTTCAAATTGTTATTTAAATTTAATTAAATTTTATAATTTTTATGTCGGATACGGATATTCGTAAATATCCGTGATATTTATGGATATCCGAAATTACGGATATCCATAATTAACGGATCGAATACGGATAATAAAATCGAGTATTTGTGCGGATCAAATACGGATACAAATATTTCAAAAATCACGAATATCTGATCCTGTGTCCATTCCTATTTTTACTATCAATAATATATTTATTTAATTATCTAATAAGAAGTGAGTTTCGTTCTTATAAATAATTAAGAAGTAATTCGTAATACTAATTCGAACATACACACTCAGGATACTATTTTCCACTAATTATTCATTGGTTAAGCTCCATGTTTTAATGATTTTATTATAAGATTTTAACATTTATTTTTGAAATAAAAAAAGGTTGAATAGTATATTTAATAGATTTATATTTCAAGTTTATTGAGATATGTAGAGAAATTCATAATCATGACTCGTAGGGTTGGGTCGTTATAAAATATTCCTAACCTAACTTCAGTTGGAATTGGTCATTTAATATAATATTTATAACACAATATTACTCAGAATAAGATCGTCATACCATATTAAAATTATACAAATTGAAATTATCCAATTTATATATTTAAATTGAAGAGTAAATTTAGTGGTATTTTTATAATAAATTCAGATCGTATTGAAAGCGACAATTTTATTAGCGATATCTGTCTTGTGAACCGGTTAATGTTTTCAATGGTTCCTTTGAAATTTCAAGTTTATATTTAATTTTAAAGTGGATGATAATTTTATATTATTTTTAAACAATTTGAAATTCGATATATTTTTGTATTTTTTTGAGAAAATGGCAAAAACCCACACCCACTATCCAAAATGTGTAAAATAAGTACATCAATTTTTAATTTGATAAAATCCCCCACCCGATTTCAAATTTTTCCGTTTTCCACCACCGATTATTCTTTAAATTTCCAATTAACACCGGGAAGGGGATTGATCGTGCCACATCAGCATCCGATTGTTGATGTGGTGTGACGCGTCCCAAAAAATGCCACGTCGGGTGACATATCAGCAATTCAGTTAGTTAAATCTGTTCATTTAATCGATTCGGTTTACTGAAAACCGAAATTTTTATTAAAAAGAATTTGGGATTTAGGATTTCGAAATCTCTCATTTATCTCCCTATTTTTTATAAAGTGAAGTATAAATACAAATTCTTTAACGCCGAGGAAATGGGGGTTTCGGTGAATGACCTTAGGGAACGCCTCTGTTCTTCTTCTCCATCTCTCCCACCTCAACAAAACTTCGTTCTCTGCATCTCGGGCTTCTCCCTGTTATCGCCGCTCCTTATTCTCTCACTTCTACTTCTCTTCGCCGGCTCCGTCGTTTTCCACCACAGCCATGCCAGTTTCCGAGTCGTTGGAGAACCAGTGGCCGGCGAGGAGAGTCAGGGACACGTTCATCGAGTTCTTCCAAGGGAAAGGCCATGTAGATTGGAAATCGAGCCCCGTTGTCCCCCACAATGATCCTACTCTTCTCTTCGCTAACGCTGGTACGAACTCTTGTTCTGTTCGGACACCGAGTTTGGTTTTTCTTGTCTGAATTAATCGAGGGACTAGGAGTTTCCGGTCTGATTGATATATGGGAATCTTATTTCTATGAAGTTTGATGGATTCGTATAGGATGCTAATTGAAGATTTGAATTTGCTTTAGTTGATTTTTGGGCTTTGCTTGCTTTCTTTTTCCTTTTCCCCCAAACATTGGGGCTTGTCTTTGAAGTGTTTTCTTACTTTTTATGCTTCGAAGTTTTCGAAAACTGTTGTCCGGCTTTTTCATGTATTCTCTCAAATGTTCTGATATGGGTTCTAAGCTATTGTCCAAATTCTTGCTGATATGTTTGGCAAGAACAGTTGGAAGATTCAAAAGATGAATGGCGTTGACTTGTCTGTGTTTTTGTTTATGAAGGAATGAACCAGTTCAAGCCAATATTTTTGGGGACTGCCGACCCGAATACAGCTCTGAGCAAGCTAACCCGTGCGTGTAACACCCAAAAATGTATTCGTGCTGGGGGAAAGCATAATGATCTCGACGATGTCGGGAAAGATACTTACCATCACACCTTCTTTGAAATGCTTGGTAACTGGTCATTTGGCGATTACTTCAAGAAAGAAGCCATCGAATGGGCTTGGGAACTCTTAACCAAGGTAATTGGAACCACCTCCTTTTGGTGTACCTTATGGTTGAAAAGCTTCTGAGTATGGCTTTTGTCATATGTCTTAAAGGAAGGGATATGTTTTTGTTAATTTGATTTAGCATGATGTTGAAAGAATTGTTGTTTCTTGCCCTCATGTTTCCTTATGAGCTGATAAATTAGCCTTCCCTTTTATTTTCGTTGAAATTCTGCTGCAGGTCTATGGGCTCCCGACTGATCGGATTTATGCGACCTATTTTGGTGGTGATGAGAAAGCTGGTCTTGCCCCTGATAACGAGGCTAGAGCTATATGGCTGAAGTTTCTTCCACCTGGTCGAGTGCTGCCCTTTGGTTGCAAAGTATGTTTTCTTCCATCCTCTCGTAAATGTTGTCAAAATACATTTATTTGTTGATGTCTCTTTTCCTAAGGTTCCTTCTATAGTAGCTAATTGCAGCCTCTTTCTTGCTATATCCATTTGTTCTAGTTTGCACTTTGCTATATCTGTCATTTTAATAAATATAAATGGTGCTGGTTTATATTCAAACGAGGAATTCATTGCTGTGGATAATTGTTAGCGATCTTGAAGATTGGATTCAATTTTGGAGTTGGAAAGTGATACTAATATTACATTGTTGGAAAGAGT